GGGTTGAGCACAGAATGTTTCGACCGTAGGGGAAAAAACGAGAAACATTGAAGAAAAGGGTGAAAGGAAGAGTGGTGTGTGGTGTGTGGTGTGTGTGGTGGAATGTCTGCCCCGGAACGGAGCGTCTCGTCCTTCCAGCGCGGAAATGCACGCTTACAGTCCGAGACGCGTTCGATAGGCGCCGGCGAGAGTCTCAGAGCTCCACCACCACCGAGCTTCGCGCAGCAGCGGCCTTGAATTGCATTGACAGCGCATGGTTGGTATTTATAAATTGGGGGGAGGAAGAACAGGGAGGAAAAGTGGCCAGGCCCTGGAATGACCACGGCCTGCAGTTAGTTGTCTGTCACTCTCTCTTCTGCTTCTACTTAAATTCAGATCACTCTGCGTATTGTTGTTGATTTGTTTCAAGGCAAGGGATGGGCCTGAGTTCGGAGCCTCGACACCCCAGGCAGTCAAGGCGCGTCGCTCACTCGAACCAGAGAACGCGTGGCACGTGATACCATGTCACGTGAACGCGTGGCGCCTTGCCTCGTCGGCGGTGGCACGCTAGTCTGCCTCCGGACTAGTCCCGCCAAGGGCTGTCTGTCAGTGACTGAATTATTGATGACCTCAACAGTCATTGAACACCAGTACAGACAGTACTTACAGTCCAAGCATACCTGAACCAATTCAGCCTTGAACCTTGACGTCTTGCATAACTCCCTGACATGTACTAAAACCTGCTTCCACCTCCGCTGATCACCCTCCAGCCTCCGGTCCAAACTTTAGGGAAAGGTCAAGATGGTGCTTCCCTCTCTTCACATTTCAATGACGAAAATAACAAAATCAAATGCCGACGTATCTTCGCCCCCAACCATATGAACTATTCCCAGCCCCCCTCTTCAGTCTTCCCTCTCACCAACCATCATCCAAGCACTTGAAAAGGACATGGTCTCTCCTTGGCCCTTAAACTCCAGCCCGATGCTCAATGGCATTGAAGTACGGAGTACACTGTCCTACAGACCAGAGCTCACATCCCAGCCCGAGAGCAGATGCACATGCAAGTACACTATATGCGTCGACTAGCCCAACACCACCTACTTGTGACTTGGTAGTAAAGTCCCCCAACTTCCAGAATTATCTAATCAAACAACTACTCTCAGAACCCCATGCAGGATCCTTTCTTTCAGCCAGCAAATCCTCAAAGAACCCCCACCCAAATAAGATACAGCACAAAGTAGTACACAGAGAGTAAAGACTCCGAATAGAAGTAGTCGTCCGAACAGCCCACACCGACAGACCACACACCCCAACCTCCCCAAGCTCGGGGATCCACTCATGCAATGCACATTCCAGAACATTTTAGCCTAGATCCAGTCGACCATGCATGACACAGGTGGAGATGCCGCCGGGGAATGTAAAAAGTAGATTTATATGTGTTGATCTGTCCAGTCTCCATCCGCCACTGAAGATACCCAAGGAAGAAGAAGGGAGCAGAAAAAAAAAAAAAAAGAAACGAAAAAAAGAAAACCTCGAGCATGCTTCAGCCATTGATTGCTCTTGTCTTCTGTTCATTGCGTCAGGTTTCTTCTCTTTGCGAATCGGCCGAAGATCCAGATCCACCGAGCAAGATTTTTAGTTTCGAGTTTCTGGATCTTGGTGGTCGGCGTCAAGGTCCGTCGTCGTGGTGGATGCTGCTGGATGGGGGCCCAGAATGCAGTGGGCACTGCAGCAATACATGCCGATATCCGGCCCCCGAAGCCCGGGGGAGATATCCGCATAGAACCCAAGCAATCGGTAGGGGATGCAGTGAACAGAAGCCGAAGTGGCAAGGGTAGACCGGTCGAGCCGTCTTGCTCCCCTTTGAAATCTTCTTCAACATTCAAGGACAATCTTTAGAGGAAATGGACGGGAATAACTCTTGCAGAGCTTTGAAAATCATCAAAGTGAATTAGTGGGTCATTTCGATCTGAACAACATGAAAAAGAAGTGGCACTACTGTACAGGATATCGCTAAATTACATCCCATCCTCCACAGAAAGATGAGAAGAAACTCCGCGGTGATCAATTGGGAAAATCAGTGTTACTTCAGTGTCGAGAAAAGTAAAAAAGCTAACCACAACCGCCCCCCAAACAAAGGAAGGGTGACGTTACAAATGTGACAGGTGTTGCAAGCTTTCCCACGTCACATAAGTATGAGATACTAAGATACACGAAGAAAGCAAGCACACTGAAAGGTGAATCATGATCAAGGGCGGAACAGAGGCATGAAAAAAAAAAGGTCTTCTATTTGCAATTGTGCCTTTGTCGGGGTACGGAAAGGTCGTGGGAAGCCGAAGCCGGCACTTGGCGACAGAGGCTACCACGGAGAATTATCCACTTTAGTTTTAGTAGAAGACATAGGTGGCGGAGCCAGAGACGACCTCGACCTGCGGGCAAAATTAACATTAGCAATCAGGCCAGGGACCTCCAAGGGGAAAGGGACCAAAGCAAGGGGTGGGGAACACTCACAGTGCAGCCGGAGTCATTGGTGCCAGACTCGGAATAGAAAACACCATCCTCATACTTGCAAGAACCGCTCAGGTTGTCACCCTCGATCTTGACATTGTAGTCGAGCTTCTCGGTAGTGGTGGGGCTGTTCTGGAAGATGGACAGCCACTTGCCGTCGTTGACACCGACACCAAGGTTGATAGGGGCCCAGTTGCCGATGGCCTCGGAGCCGTTACCCCACTGGCAGCCCTTCTCGGTGGAAACACCCTTGGGGTTGACGTAGTACTGAGCAGAGGTGATCTTGCCCTCCCACTTGTAGTAGGTCTCGCCGTCAGGGCAAGTCAGGGGCTGGAGGGTGTTGTCACCAAGGTGAAGAGGAATGGTCTCGGACTCGGTACCTATTAGTTGTCAGTAAGGAGGTGTCCATGTACTGTAGGGCTGACGCAAGACACTTACCAGGATAGTCAGTACGGCAAACAGCAACACTCTCACCGAGCGTGTTCTGGACGTGGACACCGCCAGTACCCTCAATGCAAAGCTTCTTGGACAAGGAAGTGTTGGTAAGGTAGAGCTTGCCGTTCTTGCACTGGATACCACCAACGGACTGTCCGGTAGATCCCTGGGTGCTGGGCCACTGGGACTTCTGATATCCCGCGGGGCAGGCGTAAGAGCACATGGCGCCGCTGGTGCAGCTATCACCGGAGACACCAGTGGTGATCTCGGTCACGACGCTGCCGGAGATCGTCACGTACTGGATACCGGACCAGCCGCCAAGTCCAAGGTAATCGAGGGCGATAGCACCGTAGTCGGAGGGGAAGGTATCGCAGTCCAATTCTCCATCAGGGAAGTCCGCATCCAAGCCGGTGGCGGTGGAAGAGCTAGAGCTGCTGGCAGAGCTGGAAGAAGCGGAGCTGGAAGCAGCGGCGGTGGAAGAGTGAGCGCTGCTGCTGGAGCTCCAAGAGCTGCTGGAGGAAGTGGCCTTAGCGACAGCGACTTCAACGAACTCGGCAACGGAGCTGAGAGCAGGAGCCGCGGTGGTGGAAGTGGAGGTCGAGGCAGCGGTAGTCGAAGAGCTGCTAGCGCCGTTGCAGACATCAGGAACGTCCTGACCAGAGGCCCAGGTCAAGGTCTTGTCGGCGATACCCTTGCAGACTTCCTCGAGAGTGATAGTCTTGCCGTCGAGAACGTAAGTGACCACAGTAGGACCAGCAACGGTGACAACCTCGGACTCAGGGTTGCGCTTATGGTGGTGGCGGTGCTGGTGGTGGTGCTGAGCAGCCACCAAGGAGGCCGTGGCCAAGCTAGCAGCAACGGTATTCAACTTCATTGTTGTAGTTTTGTGGGTTGCACAGATGCACAGCGGGGTATCGTGTTAGGAAATCGATGAACTCTGTATATGCCATGGAAGAATATCACATTAGTATGTTGGTCAAATGATCATCGATGATCATGTCCAGCCAATTCTCTGTGCCAGGCATAAGGATCGCCTTGATCCCCGCCTTTCACCAGGCATATTAGGGATCATGAAGACCCGCGATGCGACTCATCAAGTGGAGTTCCATGCGGCCACAGCCCACGTCGCGCGAGCACTCACTCATGAACATGCGGGTCATGGGAGGGGGAATGAAGTATAACAAGGAACAGTGGTAACCTACCGCAACGTCACGGCAAACCAGTCGCGCGCTCTTGACAGAAAGTAACGGATCTGTACACGAATTGAAGGTGCAGCGATTGAATATGAGAGGGTCAATGAGTGGAAAGTGAGAAGAAAAGGAGGTTCCCGAAAAGAGCGTGCGAGAGAGAAGCTAGTCCCTCTGGTCGGACAGGAAGTTCTCGCGTGGGTAACAGGCGAAAGCCGGAGGGGGAAAATGAAACGCTCAGGGAAGGCGAAGAAATTGAGGAGGGTCGCGAAGAGGGAGGAAGAGGAGAGAAAAGGGAACCGGAAGGGGAGATGAAGGGCAGAGCAAAGTACGGTAGAGAGGATAGGTAAGCGGTTAGTTTCGATCCAGTTTGGACCAGGGGGTGAGAATGGTGAGAATGGAAAAAGGAAAGGAGGGGGACAACAAGACACTAAAGCGTGCACGCAGGCGCTTTTTTTTTTCTTTCCAGGGGTTAAACTAAAAAGTAAAAGAGTGTAGTGTGTGGCACTTTGGCCGTGGAGAAGAGAAGTGTGAGAGAGTGGACAGACCAAAAGAAAGGCAATAATATTACACTAGTCGGCATCGTTGGTGATAATAATAATGGGGGGAAAAAAGAAAACTAATATTAATATTAGGGGGGCCCACATGGTTAGTGTCCGGTCATGATTCAGTACTCGGATATTACATTTCCAGTATTTGGCCTGTATTCAATTTGATTGTGATCTTGGGCTATCATATAGTATGCTCATAGGTACTGTACGTTATACTTCATCCTCATACAAAGACTCG